GAGCGCCGCCATGCTTCCCAAGCGGCGCACTATCCAGTGCGCCACCGGGCCGGCCCTAAAAATTTTGGGTTTTTGATGGCAGTAAATATTCTTTAACTGTCTTTAAAAACAACATTAAAGCAAATTTCCAAATGATTACTATAAAAATTTCAATGGAAAAATATCAGCTTACAAACTTATTTTATATAATTTTTTGAAGAACAGAGTTTTTTGTACATAAGGCAAAGTTTAACCAGAAATTCTCATATTTTTTTGTTTCATATTCACTTTAATATTTGCCATTAAAAAAAAACTAAAGGGCATATTATTCAATGTAAACTTTTTAACTCTACTTGGTAAGAAAAATCAGTGACTTCATTCAATAATGTGTTGCCAGTTACTAATCACATCAAAGCACCACTTTTTCTATTTTTACACTCAAAAAGGCTTCTTTTTGAAGCTTATTGATATTATCACAAAATTAAGGTTAAACTTTCAGTAAAAAAGTTTCCAAGAAGAAAGAGGTTAAGATCAAATACTTGTTTTGTTGATACAAAATACATGTTTGGCTACCATACAACTCCCCCCAAAATCCATAAAAATTAAATCTTACTTTGTGTCCTCTTGTTTTTGCTATTTTGAAGATATCCAAGCAGTACAATAAGGTCTTCAATCACCCTAAAATGTTGTGAGCCTGAGGAACTACAAGCATGAATTGTAACTGCTATGAAAAGTTGCTGCATATCACAAGCAAGCAATTTGTATTCACTCAGAGGAATGCTACAGATAACAAAACAAACAAAAGAACAAAACAGAACATTTGTAAGAAAAAGAACAAATAATTTAAGACAAAAAGAACTGCTTTAAATGGCTCAAATTCCTATTCCACCAGCGTGCATTCATTCATGTAATTACTCAATATGTATTCATGCTTACTGTATGGCAGGTAATACATACTGCACACTAGGAATAGAAGTAAGACACTTGTTGACTCTTGTCAAAAATACAGCTTTTCAGAGGACCAGAAAAGAGATCACTATAAACAATAAATGGTGGTGAGCCTAAAAATAGACATTAACCTAAGATACTGTGGGAACATATAAACAGGTTCCCAGCCCACACTAAAGGTGAAGATTGTGTAGGTATGAACAGGAACTTCTGAACCTCATTTGTATGAATTATAGTAACCTTAAAGATTAAAAGTTAACATATTTGAACATATATTAATCCCTTATAAATACCCAATAAAAATGAATTAGTTGCTTCTGTCTCTCAATTTTAATCTTGATAACCTACCACAGTGTGTTGCATTAGGCCTAAACACTTCTTTCCATTTATTTTTTCCAAATCAAGCTAGGGTTAGGAACTGTCTTGGGCTAATTAATAGAGTAGAATACAAGGAGATTCAGTATGCACAATTTATTTAAAAACAAATGAACAAAAACTACTTTCAGACCAAGTCTTCAGGTACCATTCTTAAATTCTTCCAATTTCATGCATTGTATCATAATCAAGACCAAGTGTTTTGAGAAAACACAACATTTTGTATTTCTTTGCATTTCCCATATGCCTAGCACACAGACCCTAAATCTAACAGATGACCAATATAAAGTTGAACTGAGTACAAGGAGTCTCTTTTTGGTCTAGAGAATCACTAGGGATATGCTCTGTTCTCTTTGCAAAAATATAGATAACATGTAATACTTTAATGTGCAAAAAGATGGTGCTTCTGGAGATTTATATTTTAACATTATGCTAGTTAAAATATTATACTGTACATCATAAATGCAGACACCAAAGGTACAAAACCTAAATAAAAATCTAATCCTCTAACATATTTTTTAAAGATATTAAATCAGTTTGGCAGGCAGTTATTTTCCTTCGTACTTTGGCTATAGGAACCTGATTTATGGTGGTAGATAGTGATATTATATGCTAACAGTCAGACAACATAGTGAGTTCAAAACATAGGTTTTAAAGTGAGACAGATTCAGCCTCACATTCTCTGCTATTTCCTAGCTCTGTGATCTTCAATGAGTTACTACATCTCTCTAATCCTCAATTTCCTATTCCTGATGAGGATAATAATTTTTATAAGCCTATAGTGGAAGCTTTGTAAATATATTTGGGGGCATCTAAATTTATTCTCCTTGTCTTCAAGTTCTAAATAATTAAAAGTAGTTGATATAAACACCCTCTTCTTAACCAAACTTTGTTGAAAATGATTTTAAAAATTCTCCAAATTAATGTAATAAGATGCTTTAAAGTAACCTGTTACTAACATTTTCTCTTTCGAAAGTATTAATGAGATATAATTTAAAATAATAATTTAAAACTTACTTGTTTTCTAACCCATTCAAGGCTGCTACTGTATTACATAACATATAGAGTAGACCATTATCCAACAACATATCTGCTACTTTAGAACAAGAATTAAAGTGTTTTGGAAGATGGCGACGGGTCTGGAGCGGCCGTGACAGGAGACAGCGCGATCCTGTGAGCCGTGCGCTGTGATACCAGAGTATTGATTGCATTTCCAAGAGCAACAAAAGGCGAATAATTCTTTCAACAACGATCCTACATCAACAAACAAGCGGCAGCAGGTTCGAGGTTTTGGGGTCAACACAGAGGAGGACTCCTGAGAGCGCCCAAGCCCGCCTGCAGGAACGAGCGATCAGCCCAGACAACAAAGGCCAGGAAACCCAGCAAAGGACTGCGCAGAGGCGGAGTGAAGCGCGCCAGACCGGCCCAACTCTGCAACCT